TCAGCCATTTTTGGGAAGGTGAATACTATCATACAAAAATGTATGACAATCATTTAGTGTCCTTGAACGTCATTATTATGAAGAAACTGTACAGAGTTCTCATCTGCAAGATATTCAACATCAGTAATCACATTTCTCGTGAAGACAAATAAAAGGGAATTATATCCAGGTGCATGTGTGTGCTCATCTCCCCAGTGGTTTGCTACAAAGATCTCCCTAAAGGCAGTTCCTGATTTCTGGGCAGGGTCACCAGTAAAAGCAGTTTAAAAGGCTGGTGTGATTGGCATCTGGATACTACAATAGTCAAACCTTCCCCCAAATGATCATGGACCTGTTTTCGCTAATAGGAAAATATAAGTGACAAGGAGAAAGAGGGTCACCTTTGGAATGCCAATCTGAGAAGTATTTTAGTTGCTGTTTTTACCAGGTTCCACTTGGATTACTAGCATTACAAGGAAATAACTAAATTCTTTGTGTAAATCAAGTAGATTTACTCTGCATTCCTGAAAAAAAATGAGTATGATTTTTTTTCTCTCTGAAGACACAATGATATCCTCTTCTAGTTGCATAAGGGAGGGGGAGGCTCTATTTGCTATTCCTGTGTCGGAAGAAGCAAGTCTTGTTAACCCCATGTAACCAGGGGACTATTTTACCATGACTGTTTATATCATTGCCTAATAAGATCATGAAACTTTTGTAATTTTGTGCTTCTTTGTATCATCTGATATGACCTAAGACCTGAATATCTATTTTATGTTGAATTCTGCCCATATCAGTTTCTTAAATTAGTAGAGAAAAACAGTAAATTTATATCAATCTTAAATTGTATTAATAAACATAATATCATACAAACAATTTATTTTAAAATCTAGGTGTTTTTAAACGCACAGATACCATGGTTACAACTTTTATTTTGGATTGTGGGGCCTCTTAAATATTCTGTATTCATAAAATTGGAATTTTAGAGGTTAGAAGCATTGATCATCCAACAAAATCCTCAATTTAATAGATGAGCAAGATTAAACACTCAGAAAAAATAGTTTGCCCAATTCCTCAACACTAAGTCAATTAATTTCATCACTTTCAATAACACAAGTATCACATTTTAATACAGAATATTGCATATTACTCATACCGCAGATATAACATTTGAGCAAATATATTTTGCATGTATAACAGCAAATAAATTAATAGAATGTGGATTTTATCATTGTAGAATATTCTCAATTAGGAAAGCTCCTGTCTCATAGTAAGCACTTAATAAATATTTGTTAAGTGAATAATAACTAATAGCTAATGTTTAACGAATACTAAATAATTTGTGGCTCCTGTCTCATAGTAGGCACTTAATAAATATTTGTTAAATGAATAATAACTAATAGCTAATGTTTAATGAGTACTAAATAATCTGTGTAGTAGGCACGGTACAAAGTTCATTAGGTGGGTTATCTCCTTCAAATCCTCACTCACCTGCTAGATACCAATACTGTAAGTAGAATTATGTTAATTTATAAAAAAAAATCAAACTGAAACAAAAAAAAAGATTAAATGAGTTGTTTAATTGCATTTAGCTAATAAATAATGGTGCCTGGATTTGAAACTAATTTATCAGTTAATCTTCTTCAAAGTCCTCATAATCATATCCAGTTAATTATTTTAAATTTAAACTATGATGTAAATGACTGATAATATATTCTTACTGGAGATTAGATTTTTAAAAGAACGCTTGTATCAGAAAAGAAAAGGAAGCAAAAACAGGTCTCAGAATAGCTTTACCTGGTTCTCTTTCTGCCCAAAGGTAGATCTTGATAGAGTTTATTGACAGTATTAAGCTTGATAACTTACAATATTAAATGACATTTTAGACCATAAATTCATATGCTTGAATTATTCTCCTTCTATTGTGTAGGGTAAAAAATATTTAAAGCAAATATGAAAGCGGGATAAGTTGTATAAGAGATTCCTCTCTTGGACTATAATAATGAGATACTCTTTACAGAGACTTTTCAATATAGTGCTCATGACCATGAAATGTATTATGAATGCATTTATAATTCCTGTCATTGATGGGTACAGTCTAACTTATTTTTTCATATATAAAATATGTATAATTATGTACATCATCATATATTTGTCTTTGAGTATTGATATTTCTATTCAGACGTCACTTTAGTTGAAGTTAGAGATTTTGAATTGAATAATTCAAAATGAAGGACATCTTAGTTATCTTAAAGTTATTAACTTTTAAAATGTAATTCATCATATTAGAGGTTTCAAGGATTTGCTCTTAAATTTGTCTCAGAATATAAAAACTACATGAAATATAAAGGAGTGTGAGTTGAAAGCACTGTTTAAGGCATAGCACTTCAGCTCATTTAACATAATGTTATTTAGATCTTAAACATCTAGGCTCCTAGTAACACTCCGGATTTAATTGCTATTAAAAAAAACACTGATCCCTATATGTCTTTGGGAATACAAATAAATGAATAAATAATGCCAATACTACTTGCTGTTTGTGAGCTGACACTAACTGAAAGACAAATCCAAAGAGTTTAGCAATATTGGCTAAAGAATATTTGGGTGATAATTATTTCACCTCCTAGCCCTCTTTCTTTCTTTTATATACTTCCTATTCCATCACTTCCAATGAACAGTCTACAAAAGTTCCTTTCCATCCTGTAGCAGAGGCCTTGCCTTTACATTTGGAAGGCTTCAATTCACATTTCAACACTGAAATTCAATAGCTGCAGAACAATGGGCAAGGAACTCATTGGAGCCTCTTTTCCTCATGTACTATGAGGGTAAAAAGAGCTACTTTTATATGGTTGCAGAGGGATTCAATAGGATAATATATCAGTAAGAATAACATAAGATGCTAATTATATGCTTACCTCTCTAGGAAAGATGCAAGTTTAAAGAAAGCCATTGAGTTGGTTTTGAAAATCTGTCCTAGCTTATTAATTGGGTAAATATAGTTAGGCTTTGGTACAACTCAATAAAATCATTCAACTAAAGCTTTCAGCCAAAGGATCAAACCAATAACTTAGCATATACCTGGTTATATTAAAAGTTAAAGGGAGTCTTAAAAGAAAAGCCAAGCTACCATTAAAAAGGGCATCGCAATGTCCCGGAACGTGCCTGAACTCAGAAGAACTTCTCATTCTCCAGGAATCACCAAAGCTCCAGGGAGTAGTTCAAGCCAGAACTGTGATCTCCCTGCCTTGTCCTTCAAATGATGTGTACTCCAAGCACATTTTCTGTGCAGCTGGAGGCTTTGTTATAGACAGAAGGATTCTGCTTAGTGAGGCCAGTGTTTACAGCCTAACTTTTTTAAAGAGGAATTTGGAAAACTTCCCAGACACTGCATCTGCCCCTAGCCCTTGCACCTCAGAGTATAAGGCCGGCAAGGGAGATAGCGAGGATGACTAAATTTATTAACGATGGACGGGCCACTCTATCTTTCACTGCAACAACAGTAGGTGATCCCATCAAAAATCTGTCTGCTGGCTAGCCTGCAAATCCAAGCTGACATCTATGCAGCAGCTATGCCCAGTTGAATGGAAACGGATGCTATTTCCTGGAAGAAACACATTACAAGCCAAATATTGGACCAGGGAGGTGGTTTCTATTTTCATTTGAGAAAAGGGTTTTACTATTATGCATGTATTCCTTTTCTTTACCTATTTTTTTCTTTTCCTTTTTTCCATTTGAAGAATATAAAGCAGCATTTGAGCATTTTTAGCTCAATGGTTCAATTTCTAATGCTCAGCGATGATTTTGATGTACTGGGAGAGTAGTTAAGCATGCATTAATCTCAATATATCTCAGCTAGAACATAATCATGATTCATTACAAAGGTGCATCAGCAGCCAGCTTCAACGAAAAGCAAACTATTTACTGTTTTAGATAAAAATAAAACAATACAAATTTTATAGGTCAAATTCCATTTCATCGTCTTCACATATGCAATATTTTAAAGACTAGCTATTTGCTCCAAAATGACTTTCTCATAGATGATTAAATGAACATGTTTATGAGTTTACAGAATAATATATATCTTATACTTTGTAAATTTTTTTAAAAATTGGAAAAGTGAAGTATGTACCATAAATAGAGTTTTTTACCGTTATATTGAAATAGTGATATTAGAAGCTGTAATTCACAGAGGTCGTGGGACTTCCAAAATATTGTGGTACTACTAAGGCCAGGAGCCGGGTAAGGCCTGAGGCAGGACTGTGCCAGTACAGGGTCAAACCTGTCTTTGCTTAAATTTTGATAACATTTTTGTAGTGTTCACATTGATTTTCATTTTAAAAATACTGCATTAAAATATCTACATTAACACTGAGATTTTAGTTCATTTTTGTGATTGAGGCAAGAGCCTCACTTGTTTTACCACAGTCTTGGCCTAGAGAAAGGTTTGCTTTCCCTGGGATTAGTTTTTCCCACAATATTCGTCATAGAACATGAGATATTCAGTTGTCACAGTGTAAAATGGAATAAAGAAAGAGCGAGAGAAAGAAAAAAAAAACTTTACGTCAAATATCTGTTAGGCATGCTTATCTAAGCAAAGTTAAATGGCTTTCTTATAATGCTTCTTAGGGGCTTTAGTAACTAACTTGGTGTACACTGAGAATCTCCGACAACATGAGGGAATGTTTCAAACTCGTTCACTCACACAACACATTGAATAATATTTCAAGGAACATGTCCTGGCAAATACTTTGCCAAAATACAAATACGAAGCATATACTTTGATCCAATAAGGCTGTCTCTTCATCCACATCTTTTTTTTTTTTTTCCCTTTCCTTCACTTAGCTGACTTTTCTCCCCAGGATTCTAAAAAGATGGACATGCTGACATAATCAGGCAAAAGTTATCAAAGGGCTCAAGAAGTATAGCAGGTATAGTAAAAATTCATTGTAAAGTGATAACAATAATAGAAAACATTTTGGAGCTTTGCGTCTCCTAAATAAAGCAATGTAAAACACACTTACCAGTAAAGTCTGTATTGACTGGGTGAGTGGAGCTGGGAAACTTGCAATACCCATTTCCTGTGAAGCGAATTCCTTTCATCATCATTGTGGTCATCAAAGCTGGTAGAGATGACTCTCTCCTTTCCAGCTGATACACAGGAGAGGGTCCATTCAGTTCCTCAGGTGGAAACCACCTAAGATGGACTGTCGTGCTGTTGATTCCTTTAACCAGAGGAGGCCTCAGTTGGGCTGGTGCTAAATATTAGAAAACACTTGTTACAGTCGAGAATTTGGTTTTAAAAATGTGTCTCTAGACACACACACACACACACACACACACACACACACACACACACATATATATATATATATGTATATATCACACTTAAAATCAAATCATTTGTGGTTTCAAGTATCTGTATGGTTCTAGGAGCTGAAAACACAATATATAGTTTATCTTAAATGCAACAAAACAAAATTTAAATGGCCAACATACTTCACAGAAAACTTTCACATTAAATTTTTTCTTGAAAATAACTTCTCTATTCCTTTTAGCTAATAATAGATCTTATATATTATAGTAGCTGCTGTACTCTGGGTGGTGCCCCAACCAGAGTCCCTTTACCAGTAATGTGCCCTAACGGCCCAGTTCCTGTGCCTGTTGATCTCTGATGGCTCATGGCTGCCCCCTTCTGTGTAGAAATTCCCTTGGCTGAGTAAGAGCTGCCTCACCCAGGAGGTGCAGGATCCCACAGTGAAACCAACAGCCAATAACTAGCACTAATCCCATTGGGCAGAGCCCCTCGCCTTAAAGTGGCATCAACTCAGTGCTACAATTTACAGGGGCCACGCATAATCCATGCCAATCAATGGGTAATGCAGGAATATTAACGCAAGTTTGCCAAAACTTTGTGTTTGTGTAAAAGGGAGTCAGGAAGTCATTTTTAAAAAGACTTTTATTATTTTTATTTATCCTTGCTTGCTTCTGTGGAACACAGCTACCTCATAGGCTATATGTGCCAGGGGTAGCTTTTTTTTTTTTTTTTTTTTTTTAATTTAAGAGATGGAGTCTCACATTGTTGCCCAGGCTGGAGTGCAGTGGCTATGCTACAGGCATAGTGATGGCTCACTACAGAATGGAACTCCTGGGCTCAAGCAATCTTTCTGTCTCAGCCCCCCAAGTAGTTAGGACTACAGACAGGCACCACTACACCCAATAGACTGTATTTTTAAAGAGCAATTTTATGTTCATAGAAAAACTGAGAAGAAGGTGGAGAGTTCTACTGTATCTCCCCAACCCATGCACAGTCTCTTCCATTAACAATATCTGGCACCCAAATAGTTCATTTGCTATAGTAGATGAATCTGCACTGACACATCATCATTCAAAGTCCATAGTTTCCGTTGGCGCTCTCACATGGTGTTTACATTCTCTGGGTTTGGAAAAATGTATGATGACCTGAATCCATCATTATTCTATCACACAGAAAATGTTCACTATCCAAAGCATCCTCTGTGCCCTGCCTGTTCATTTCTCCTTGCCCCCACCCTGGGTAACTACTCATCTCCACAGTTTGCCTTTTCCAGAATGTCCTAGTTGGAATCATAGAGCATGTGGCCTTTGCAGACTGACTTCTTTCACTGAATCATATGCAACGAAGTTTCCTTCATGTTTTTTCATCATTTGATAGCTCATTTAATCCTAAATAATATTCTCTTGTCTGGATGTAGCATAGTTTATCACAGTTTATTCACTCATCTACTGAAGAATATCCTTGTTGTTTCCAAGTTTTAGCAATTATGAATAAAGCTGCTATAATGTGCATATATATATCTAATTATATATCAAGTTTTTGTGTTTTCAATTCCTTTGAGTAAATACCAAGAAGTGCAATTGCTGTATCATATGGTAAGAGCATGTTTGGTTGTACAAGACACTGCCAAACTGTCTTCCAATGTGGCTGTACCATTTTGCACTCCCACTAGCAATGAATGAGCATTCCTGCTACTGTATATCCTCATTTGGTGTTGTTTGTGTTTGAGATTTTAGCCATTCTAATTGGTGTGTAGTGGTATCTTGTTTTAATTTGCATTTCCCTTTATAACATATCATATAGAACATTTTTCATATGTGTATTTGCCATCTGTATATCTTCTTTGGTCAAAAAGTTCCTTTAATGTCTACTTTTCTGATTTTTAAAGCTTAAAAACGGATTTAAATTAAAGCAAACAAGCAATAACCACTCTCAATGTTAAACAGAGCATTAGCACAAAGTAACAAGCCTGTGAGTTCAGCAGTTTACTCACAATGGTCCAGGCACCTAACTTTGGTCAGCCTCTTGGTCCCAGAGAGCACCCTGGCCCTGAAGTGATGACACCTCCACCAGCAGCCTAAGCCTTACAGCAGTAGTCGCCCCGTGCCCTTGCATACGTTGGGACCTTGCCATGCTTTGAGTGGGTGAGACACTGGCAATTCTTTGAAGGTTACTGGGAAACCCTAGGAGTGACAGAGATTAAGGTTTTCCCTACAACTTGCTGGAAATGATGATCAGAGTAACAGCCGAGCAATTGAAAATGAAGGTTTGTTTTGATTTTTTTTTCCCCCGTAAACAGTTGAGTTTGTGAGCTGAGATTCATTCATCCTCTAAGTGTATCTGCTGAATTTGAGAGGTGAAAGCGGAGAATGGAACAAATGTCATTATCACCAAGCCTATTCATTAAGGGCCCAAACTACGTCTGTGGACTTTTAATTTATACCTGTGTTAACATGGCCATACACAGATGTAAAGTCATTGCCTGCTTCAATAAATATAAATCAAAATGATATGAATATAAGAATTGAAGCCCTTAAACCATGAAAGGAAATTCACAGTAAAACAGCTTAGAACAATTTCTATTTGCTACTTTTTAGCTTTTGGTCCAGCTTTTCAAAGAGAAACAATTCATTTTGATGCTATTTTAACTTTTAGTTAAAAAAAAGGCACTGAGCAAAAAGTGTATCAACTTAGAAAGATAATTAACAATTCTGGTTATTTTCTGCCACTGCAGCCCATGTGATATTTTATTTTTATATATGTATGAATCTATGACTTATACGCATAATTTCTCTTAGGTTTTTTTTTTTTTTTTGCTAAAATTCAGTTAGATGGTAGGTTCTCAAAGATTTCATTCTAGAAGCTATGATTTCACTTCAAAATAATCCAAAACAAAATAAAAGGCTAAGCCATTCGGAAATGTCTTCACCCACTAAGTCTCTCTACAGAGTCTGGAGTTCCATATTTGTATTAAAATTTCAGCAGGCCATTCTTGGCTATGATTTCAACTGGGACAGGAAGACTGTTTTGTCTTGTGCTCAGGGAAGCAATGGAGAACCAATTACACAACTTTAAAATTGCAATTTGCTAGATTCCCTAGGGTTTTGGGACACAGAGACATGAGCTTTTTAGTTAACTAACTACTAGCCTAGTAATAACCAATAGCCAAAAACTACTAGACCAATACTATCCAATAGAACTTTCTACAATGAAGGAAATGTTCTAGATCTGTAATGTTTAATATGGTAACCACTAGCCTTATAATAAGACTACTGAGCACTTGAAATGCAGCTAGTGAGAATGAGAAACTGAATTTCAAATTTCTTAATTTTAATTAACTGTATTTTAAATTTAAATAGCCACATATGATTCATGACTACCATATTGGATACCAATGATGTAGACAGAGAGTCACAAATTATACATATTTGGTGTACTGGGAATAGAATTCCCATTTTAACTAAATGTTGAGAAGTATGAATATACCTCCGATACCTCTTAAAAACTGAACAGTTTCATTGCTGTTTGAAAGCAGCCTTTCTCCTGGTCCCATTTGTTTGAAAGTTGATACATCTCTACTTTACTTCAACCACTCAACTGAATGGAGTTAATGTCGAAGCTCAGCACTACCACAGAAACCAGATTCCTTCCCCCATCAGTAGCATAATCCAAAAATTACATCTTAATCAGGAATATAGATTAAGAGTCATACAAAACAATACTAAAGGAATTCTAGCAACTCTCTGTTATTTTTGTGTAATAACTGTTGAAAATTAGAGCACACATTTTTTAATTTGGCAAAGTGATTCTAATCAATAGGAAAATTCTTGAGAGTCCATTAAAATCAATGTTTACCATTTAAACTTTAACTAGTAGAGCACTTCTTGGTTCCCAGGGGAATTATTCCACCAAGCAATGGGACTGTCCTTTAGAAGTCAATTCTTGAGAATGAACAGAACTAGAGTACATTTTTTATTCTATTGTTTAAAAGAAAAACAAAACAAAAAACATTCCAGTAGGTATATTGTACTGTTTCACATGGAGGAGTCAACTAAGCCTGTTTGAAAGGGTGACTATCCTACTGAGTTATTCTTTTCAGGGTTCCTCTAAGGCTGGAAGGGGGAATTATGTGAAATTGTCAATCAATTAAACTAGTCTGGCCTCATATACATACAAGTAGAATAAGAAAAGTAGATACTCCTGAACTATTAAACACAGACATACACCCACATAAAATCATCAAGAGATTGGAGTAGTAAAGAATTATTCATCAGATTTTCAAAGGAAAGAAACTACAGGTAAAAATAAATATGATCTTTAAAGATTTGTTAATTTATAAAACAGTTTGTTAAGAGACAGCACTGAGTAATGAAAGGGACTTTGTAGACTTTTAAAAATATTTCACTTTTTAATGTCTAAATCTGTGTGATTTTAGAAAAGTCTCTTAACACTTATACCTGCTTCAGCTTCCTCATCTGCAACGTGAGGATACATTTTCAGTGAAATACGTTGACAGCAATTGCTTCTACAACATTACGCATATCTGCTTTATGTTTTACAAAACAAGTTTCTATACAAATACAAGGCACTATCAATACAAGAACCCATCTTTAAATTATATATTATAAAGGGATACAATTCATCTATATTCAAAATCGATTTGTATTTACATAGAAAATTGTCTTGTAAATGTTAAGTTTAAGATGAATCTTCAATATCCATTATTTCTAAGAATAATGTACAAAGTTTAAATCTTCAATATTCATCATTCCTAAGAATAAAATGTCTATTTTCACTTGGAATAAAAGTACAAAATTCTTGTATTTTTTACATATCATTTGTATTTTTAAATAGGAGTAATCTAGTATCTTATCTATTCAATATATAGATACTATTTTATAAAATGTTATCATATGCATTCTTCTTTATGCAGCATTTATT